CACTGGCTCAAGGTTGACTTAGCCTTCCATCTTTCCGAGGTCAATAAAATGAGGATCCAGATTGTTGGGGGCAATATGCTGACCCTGTAAACCGCTTAGAGTGGGCTGTAAAGCACTGTGAAACGGTATATAAGTCTAAGTGCTATTGCTATTGCTATATCTAACTCTCCTTCTAACTCCAGATGAAATGTATCTGTTTTAAATCACATGTAGTAAAACTCAGTAGTAATATGCTGATCCTGTAAACCGCTTAGAGTGGGCTGTAAAGCACTGTGAAGCGGTATATAAGTCTAAGTAGCTATAGCTATTGCTATATCTAACTCTCCTTCTAACTCCAGATGAAATGTATCTGTTTTAAATCACATGCAATTTCTAAATTCTGAGTCTTTAGTAGGCATGAAAAAATGGCACTCTAATTACTACTGAGTTTTACTACATGGCAATATGGCCCTAAACTGGAAGGTAGCTCCTTTCCTCTCGGTGGACTTTCTCTTCCACATCAATGGGCTTAAGAACATTATAATATACACAAAAAGCTTCTTCCAGTGTTGTGACATTGGGTCATGAACCCGTCGTTGCTTGTGATTTTTCTGTGCTACTGTACAGCCAGACCAAGCACTGTAACTTGTGAACAAGCTCACAGTGGTTTCATGTCTTTTCGGTTGCAGAAGTTAATTGCTTTGAAAACAAATGCTTCATTGTTACAGAATTACAAATGCAATGATTTTGCAAAGAAAGGTTTGCGCAGGCTTTAGAGAGAGTCAATTGCTATGCTAATAAGGAACTCTACCCATAGGAGTGGTGAGAGTTGCTGCAATTAAGTAAATTAGAGCACCAAGATTCAATACAATCTGTTGACTTCTTAAACTGCACTAAGCAGGGCCAGGATAATTGGATGAAAATGACTACAGTAAACTATGTTTTTTTTTTGCATGTGTCTGCTGGACATTGCATTTCATGAAAAGAAAGTCATAATAAAAATTATTAGGAAAATAATTGCTGCAGATTACAGTGTAGGCATCATTATTTAGGCAGACATGATAACTGTGGACTACAGTGTCCAACAGCCCAAGTAACATGGCCAAAACTAAGAGAATGTAGACATTGTAGTCCACAATGGCTGGGGGGGCATCAGGTTGAACATCTTCACCCATTGGGTGAGGATGATTAAAACCTTTTTTTTCTTTGTTCCCTTTGGCTATTATTTTGCAGTTTCTTTGCA